AGGGATAGGACCCAGGTGTCCCAGCTCCCAGCAGGGATAGGACCCAGGTGTCCCGGGCCCCAGTTCCCCCCCCAGTGGGGTTGGGACCCGGGCGTCACCTCTGCAGGTGGCAGTGGGCGAAGGCCAGGGCGATGCGGCTCTGTTGCTCCTCGCCCAGCTGCTGACAGCCCATGTCCAGCCTGCCCAGGGCCCCCGCCCAGCAGGCCCCCAGCTGCGGGTGCTGGGCCAGCATCTGGGCCTCCCGCAGCCGGGCACGGCCCTGGGCCAGCAGCCCTGGGTCTGGGGGGCCCAGGCCCTGGGGGGCAGGGCAGAGGCAGAGCAGGAGGAGGAGCGCTGGGGGCAGCCCCATGGGGCAGGGGCTGCAGGGAAGGTCAGGCACTGGGTAGAGTTAGGGAAAAGGGTCAGTGGTGGGCGGGGCCACTGGGGATTAAACATTATGTGGGCGTGGCCACTGGGGGCTACACCCCTTCTCATTGGGGGCGGGGACACTGGAGTCATGCTCCTCCCATTGGGGGCAGGGCCACAGGGGTCAAACCACTTATGGTGATAGAGTCACTGGGGTTAACCCCTTCTCATTGGGGGTGGGCCATTGAGGTCACGCCCCGCCCATTGGGGGCGGGTCACTTGGGGTTACACCTTCTCATTGGGGCAGGGCCTGTGAGACCTCTATGGAATCCAGCGCATGGGAGACGCCGCCCCCCTTTTCCTGGTGCAGATGGTACATTCTGTCTCCGCTTTTCCCTTTCCCCCGCCGGCCCCCGTAGCGCTCAGGGGCTGGCCCCTCCCTTTGCAGCAGGCGGGGTTGGGTCACAAAGGCCTGTGTCAGCCACGCGCTGGCTGCTTGGCCCGTGGCGCTTCAGCGCCATCTAGTGGCCGGGACGGAGAGCCGGCTTGTTGGCTGCTGGCGGGCAGGAAGCTAAGCAGGGCCAGGCGAGTTCACGGCCTGGAGGGGAGACGTGGCTGCACCCCGTGGCCATGCGCCACGTGTCAGAGCAGTGCACCACGCTGGACGTGTGCAGTGGTCCCTCCGCCCACAGGAGCACACGCACGAACTCTGGCGTCCAGGGCAGATTCCAGCCCCTCCCCACCCCCAAAACCATCCACTGCTGCTGGGGGGGGGGGG